CCTTTCCTTTCCTTTCCTTTCCTTTCCTTTCCTTTCCTTTCCTTTCCTCTTTTCTCCTTTTTCTCTTCTCCCCTCCTTTTCTTTCTTCTGCTTCTCACAGTCCCCTCCCTCTTGGCCTTCTGGACACGTCTTGCTTTCCTGCTGCTGTACCTTCAGGGCACCCTGCCTGCTCCAGCTGTTGGTACTGCCCCTCCATCAAGGGCAGCTCAAGACCATTTCCTGGAGGAAGTCTTCCTAATGTCCTGGGACTCCAGATGCTTCAGGTTTTCCTTTAGACTCTCACAGTTCCCACCAGCCCTCCCTGTACAATCCACTCACTTTTTGTCTCGAGTGTACCCACCATAGGCTGTGAGCTGCTTGAAGGTAGAAAATCCATGTGGGGCGTCTCAGGGGCCTGAGCAATGTCTGGGGAGTAAATGAGCAAGTCATAGCGTTCACTGTTCGGCCAAGCAAGCATCTTTCTCTGCTAGAAATCTTCTCCAACAATAAACAGCATGTGGGAGCAGGGTAGGGGATGGGTTTGGAGCCAGACACTTTCAGTTTTGTTTTTATTTTGCATAGCCTGTTCAGCCATGCCCCCTCTCTGAATCTTAATACCCCTCTCCCCAAAACTGCACTAAGAAACTCCCTGGACTTAGGATTAGAAGAGACACTGGCTGTGAACACACCAGAGACTACAAAGCCCTCGGCATCCTTGAGCCTGGCCCAGCTCCACAGGCCTGACCCTCCCTGGCTGCTCCCCTTCTAGGAGTGGCTGGCTGTGGCTGTCCTCCTGCTGCCCTACACCCCAGCCTCCCCTCTTTGCACTCGAGTTCAGCTGTGCTGACCCCCATCTACCCCAGGAAGGACCTCAATCTGGGGACCGTGGGGCCTTGCAGGAGAAGGTCATACTGGCAATTTATGGTGTGTGGAACCACTCCCTCCAACACATGATCTGTCAAAGCGGTGTTTTCCTTGGAAAGCTGCTCCTGGTGGAACCCTCTTCCCGGCAAGGAGCTCTCCCTCAGGTGCAGCAAGGTTCATCGGCAGGCAACTGGGAGGCAGGGGTCATTTCTACCCATGACAAATGGGTAGAATTTCCTTTCAGCTCCAGGCTTCAGCCCAAGAGCACTCCAATGGGCAGAAAAGTGCAAGCCGACTCCGAGGCACAGGGAACCCCGCATGCCTGCTCAGGTGGAAGGCTGGGCTGCTACCTCTGCTCCCCAGCCTCAGGGGCCACAGAGACTGAGATACAGAGGGAGACGGAGAGAGGCAGCCATGTGCAGGCAGAGACCCAGGGCAGTGAAGACTCAGGGAGGCAGACAGGAAGACAGAGAACTCCACACAGAGATAGAAACTGTGACAAAGGGACAGACGGAGCACTTAAGCGCAAAAACAGAGGCAGAAAGGGGCAGAAAAGGGCAAGGCGAGAGGGTAAACCAGCTTGCTGCAGAGACCCAGCAGTGGGGATGGGGACAGAAGAGGAGCTGAAAGTTAGGAAGAGAGAGAGAGGGTGCTTGAGAGGAGGTCAGAAGCAGAAAGACAATTAGAGAGAGATAGGGAGGCAGGGAGAGCCTGAGAAGGAAAGGAAAGGGAAAGCCAGGCAGAGAGCAGAGGAGATGGAGCCCGTCACAGTTCACACAGGGACTCTGCGGGGAGGAAACCAAATCCCTGTGACCCCCACAGGGAAGGCGTGGGCTGGTTCCATGCCGATGCAGAACAAATGTAAGGACCATTCATACCCCGGGGCCTGACACGCAAACTTTTCTCTCACCCCTCCCAGCACCGCAGGAGTTCGGGGTGGGGCACATGTCAAAGGGGCCCCGCTGACTGGGGCTGTCTAGAAGGGGTGGAGGACAGCAGGCATGGGAATGGGGGAAGGAGCCCATGCGAGCAGTGGAGGGACAATGAGGAGACAGAGAAGGGGGATCCGGGCTGGGCAGATGGGGAGCTAGGCCGGTGCAGTTTTCATAGACGCGGACTCGTGTTGGAAAGCCCGGCCACAGAGCCTCCAGCAGGGCAGGAATCCGCTCACTTGGGAACTATTTATTGAGCCTCTCTTAAGTGTCAGGAAGTCCTCCTGTCCTGGGGATACCACAGAGAACAAAAAAGGCAAGTGGGCCCTACCCAGCTTACTTTCCAGTAGGAAGAGAAAGACGAGACACAGTGTAATGCACGCAGTGTTTGGCTTGGCGGGAGGGAGTGAGAGCTATGACTGAGGGCAGCAGAGAGGAATCTGAATGATTTAAATGGGAGGCTCAGGACATCAGGAAAAGGCAAAGGGGTGAGGTGGGAGCGAGTCTGTGGAGCACCCAGGACAGAGCAGCAGAATGGAGGCCGCAATGCCAGGCCAGAGGCAGCAGGCGGGCAGCCAGTGTATGTGCTGCTGAGGCTCGCAGGGATTGTACCAGGGGAGGCTTTGGCAGCCACCTCCGAAGTATTTCACCAAAGTCTGCAAAAGAGAAGGCAGAGGCCAAGGCTGGGGTGCTAGCTGTGGGTGGTGAGAATCAGCCGGTGCTAGATGTTCCAAAGACAGGGTGAGCAGGATTTGCAGATGGCTCAGTATACAGTGGGTGAGAAGGAAGGCAGAGGGCTCAGCTGCCCTGCCAGGGCTTCCCCCTCTCTGCTACCCTCTCTCTACTCTCGGCTCCCTTAGGGAAAACACTTGCCGCTCTCTCCACTGCCCACTCCTCTTTCAGGAACTCAGAGGGGAGATGGTGATTCCCCTGACATCCAGAAGGGCCCACTGGTCCCTTTCTGTAGGCCTGTAGATGGAGGGATGACCCCAAGACAGCCTCCGAACCCCCGTGGGCATCCAGAGAGGCCAGAGTTGCTGAAACCATCTATGTAGGGGAGATCAACCCTGCTCCACCAACTGCCTACGGTTGGGTCCTTGTCTCACCCTATCCTTTGGGGAATGCTGCTTCCAGCAAGAGAATTTCCTTTCTATTTCCCTGAAATATCAGCTGTGCTGACTGCAAGGGAGAACACACGTGATGACTAAGAGAATTAAGGGGGTTGTAAGAATTAGTCCAGTTAAAGTCCTGGCACAGATTAGTATTCAATAAAGGCATTGATTATTACTATTATCAATAATTAATAGTCAGGCAGATACAGAGTCAAAGTACGTGTCCTTGAACCAAGTACTCAAGGTCTCTGAGTATTAGAGTATACATCTTTAGAAGAGAAGGCATAGCAGAAGTTTCCTCACACAGTTGTGATTGAGATAATCCATGTGTAAAATTTGGCATGCTGCCTAACACAAGAGGGAGTCATTGGTGGTCCAGTGTGCTGGTTGGCGTTAGCTTATTTCATCTTGCGAGAGCACTTTGTTAAATTTTCAGAAATTGTTATTAAAAATTAAAATATATAAACTCACATTTACAGAATTTGGATGGAAAATGGCAATACTCAAAATCCACCGTTTCCTAATTATTTAACTTTTGCTCTCACCTGTTTTTATTTACAACATCATATCTGCCTGGTATAAATACTACATAGTGATATGCATCTGTGCTCCGTCCCAACTTTGCCTAGCAATGGCATGTTAGAAGCTGGGAATCAGCCATGACAGGAGCATTTACACCCAGAAATGGACAAAGCCTACAAATCAGGGCTTGATTTATTGGGCTGTTAATTGTCTAGATTTAAGGAGGTGGTAGAAAACTGCTAATAATAAAAATTAAATTTAAAAGTATGTCATGTCTGTTACACAAAAACTTGAAGAAATACTCTTCTGTGTTCAAAAAGGTCTATGCAGTACACAAAGAATCTGATCACATCATTGATGAATAAGTAAAGTTCTGACATAGTGCCCTTGTTTCACTTTCATCTTACTTGTTATTGTAAAACTATCAATAAATATTTTGTCAGAACTATGCTCATTCATCACTTGCAATCATAATCTGGCTATGATACAAAGTTGATAAAAACATTCTGTAAAAATTAATTAGTTATATGGAATTAATGATAAAATAAATATTCTATATATGTTTTAAATTGTATGCTGCCTGTCTTGGTTACTTTTCTCTCATTGTTGGGACAAAATACCTGACTCCCAAAATTAAGGAAGGAAAGGTTTATTTCGCTTATAGTTTGTGGAGGTTTTAGTCTGTACTTGGCAGATTATAAGGCAGAGTGGCACATGGCAGAGAGCTACAGCTTAGGGTGGCAGACAACAGCAAAAGCAACAAAACAAAAGCCAAAAATGAGAGAGGAATAGCCTCAAGGAGC